CCCCAAAACCCCAAAACCCCAAAACCCCAAAACCCCAAAACCCCAAAACCCCTTCGGCTCTTTCAACAATTGAGCTGTTTTAAAATTCACCATAATTTTGGATCTCGCTTAGTTTCTTGGTATAGACCTCAATGTCTTCGAGGTATTCTCCAAATTTAGTTTTAAACCCTATAAGATACCGTCCATAAACACTAAGATCTAAGTCTTGGTATTTAAATTCATTTTCATCGATCTTTGACTTCTTGCCAGCAGGAGGAGGGTATCTGCTTTCATCATCTTTGTGACTGTCTTTATCGCTGATTTCATCTCCTAGATTTTATTAAAATTAATAGCTTATTACTTACTTTCACTTAAGTGCGCTTGTGATTCCGGAACTATACTTTCGTTATCAATTTTAGAGAAACTTGCGACTGAATCACTGAGGTTGACTATTTGGGCAAGTTCAATCTGGCCTTCCATTATTAGTCAATTCTCGTAATTAGTCCCTATAGTTATGAAATTGGCAGAATACCTAGTGTGATACTTCTGATTCTTTGATTTTTGGCTGATCATCATCAGTTGACACTTTCAATTTGTTCGTTTTCTTCAAGAACCATGGTTTCTTTAATAAGTTCATTTTTCTTAGCCTGATCATGCATTGTGCCTTGATATAAAAAGGTGGCTAACTCTGTCTGCCCAGGAACTTCAAATTTGGTTTCAATAGCTGTAATGTAGTTATATCCAAAGCAAGTGATCGACACCAGACGTGCATAAGGGTGTTGCTGTAAGAAAATCCAATGGTCATAAATTTTATTTGTTAGTTGGGATAACACTTTCGCTTCCAACAATCGATGCATTAGACTCAACCTGAATATATTTGTAATTGTCATCTTCATTTTTAGTCCTCCTCCTTCTTTCACTCATGTTTTGAGTTGACTTGAATTCTGAGTCTCTTCCAATCCTCGTAGTCTTGATAGATTGGGGATGATGACTCGAATGCACAGAGAATCAACTTTGAACCGGCCCATTTGTATTATCATCGATTTTAAGTTTGTGGTCAAATTTTCCGGTGTTCGGGTTAGGCATCTTTATGAATTTAATAAGCTGAACATCATGGCGAATGTCTGTCATGCGAATAATATCATTCTTCTTCCTTTCTATACTATTGATTGTTTTGTTTGAAAAGTTTCAGCCCATACTAAACTTTAATTTTAATTTATATAATCAATGAACTTGGCAATAGTAGGGGTTTTGGGGTTTTGGGGTTTTGGGGTTTTGGGG